CAGGAAAGAGAGCAGGAAGGAGGAGGGGGAGGAGGGAGAGGAGGAAGGAGAAAAGGAAGAAGAAGAGGGGGGGAGGGAGGACCGCATTTACACGCCTGCTAACCTGAAGCGTTGAGACCCCCGTGAGCTGTCCCCCTTCCCACAGAGCCTCTGAGGGCCCCGGGTCACACGCTGCCCAGGAGGGGCGGCCACCATGGAGAAACTCTAGACAAGGTGTCATGGGATCCGGGTGCGAATCCCACCAAGACCATGAGGTATCTTTAGACACCTCATACAAACTTTTCGGAACATACTCAGCTAGGACAGGCCCTGGCCCCAAGGTGGCGGATGGTGAGCAGAGACCTCAAGGACCTCGGGGACCCTAAGAGACAGCTGGAGGCATGGCAGGTAACATATGCAAAGGCCCAGAGGGCGGAGAGATGTGGGTAAGAGGGGCGGGCACCAGAGGGCGAGGCGGGACAGCTTCCTACCCGCTCGGGGCATCTCACAGGCTTTGGGGCGAGGGCAGGACCTCAGCTCCCCATGATGCTGCCGGCCCGAGTCCTGGGCCTCTCCTCAAAGAAACTCGCTCCAAACACGGCAGCAGGGCAAGAATGAGATCATTTACAGCTGGAAGGGACCTTCAAGGCCTTCTGATCCAACCCCCCTCTACAGATGTGGAGACTGAGGAGGCTGAGACACGTAAGGGACTCGCTCAAAGTCAGGGCAGACAGGAATGGAACTCGGGTCCCTAGATGCCACACCCCATGCTGTTCGCCAACCCCCAAGGCCTCCAGGAGGAAATCAGATGAGCCCAAACATGGGGAGGCTCCTGTCCAGCAGAACACCCAGTCAACGCCACCCAGACGCCCTTGAACGGATCCCAGCAGGCCACAGCCCCCAAGACTCCTTGCTCCTCTCTGCTGCAGGGACCCCACACTCTCTGCCCCCACCCCTTCTGGCCACACCCTGGCCCTCTGCCCGGCTGGCACTGAGCTGGTCACGGGGAAGCTGGGACTCCCCCCCAGGCCTGCTGGACCCGTGAGGCAGGGCGTTCAATTGATGGTCACTGAGCCCGACGACAGGCTTGTCCTGCTGGTAGGGGTGGGGCTGGGGGCTCTCCCGGAGGGGAAGTTCCCACCAGGCCTAGGCCCAGAGTCCCACGACACAGCCACTCCCGCGTCCGTCCTCCAGCCTGGCTGCTGCCCTGCTCAAGAGCCGTCAGTGGCTGTCGCCGCCCCCGCCTCATCCCGGGCCTTGCTCCAGGCCACGGTTCTGGACACATCCCTTCAGCCCCCTCCCACCCCAGGGGGCCCACAGCCTTCCCTCCTCCAGGGCCTGCCTGCCTCGGGTTTCCCTGCAGTGCTTGGTCTCCATTTCCAGGAGCGCATGCCACGCGAGCTCCCGGGGCAGAGAACGGTTCCCATTTTAAGTGGTCACCCTTAAAGTTCCAGGGCCTCGCACAGGCAAGGCGCTCAGGGGGCGTTGGCCCAAGGAGGGCAGGCGCCCCAGCCTGGGCAGAGGAGGCCGCCCTTGGCACCACCTCTGCGCCTTGCCCCCGGTGCCCCAGCCCCTTACCTGTCGTGAATCTTGGCTTCGCAGGGGGCTCCTGCACAGACATGGGGAAAGTGGCCGACGCGGGTGACGACTGCGCTCGGGACAGGGGCCGGTGGCCGCCGAAGGAGACGGGGATGCCCGCGGCCTCCATCGAGGCCTGGTAGTTTCTCAGCTGATGGATGCGCTGCTGTTCAAGCAAAAGGGCTTGCTGTGGACGGGAGAAAGGCCGGGGAGGGCCCGGTCAGCGGAGCCACTGTCCTCGGTCAGGGGAAGGGGCACGCGCCCCATAACTCTATGCGGCCGTGCCCCGCGGGTGGGCGCGGAGACCACCCGGAAAGGGGAGCTCCTGACTTCAGGACCAGAAGAGCACCTCCACCCGCAGCACCGCCAGTGCGCTCAGTGCACGGGGGCCGATACGCGGGCAGGGACCGGGGCGTCCCTGGACTGGTGGCTCCCAGAAGGCTCGGGAGGGGTCGGCTGGACCCACAGAGCCGGAGTCTGCAGGAAACTCAGAGGCCACGCAGGGCAAGTCCCTCATTTTACAGGCCAGGAGACTGAGGCCTTAAGACCTCAGAGGTCATTCAGTCTGACCCCTCATTTTCAGGCATGCAGGCGAGCCCCCAGCCCCGGGCTCCGGCCTCCCGAACCCAGTGGCAGGACGTGCTTCCCTACACCGCCCCCCAGCTTTGGCTTCCTCCTGCTCTACAAAGGGGCGGGGGGCAGGACCAGGGCCCGCGGCCGGCTGTCAGCCATGGCTCACTGCCGAGGGCTGCCCCCTCCCCCCAGGAGGCCGCCCAGACCCCATCACCTGGCGGAAGAGCAGCTCCTGCTCCGCCTGCCGCTGGCCGGGCTCGGCCTCATGGGCTGGCGTCTCGACGTCTTCGCCGTCGCTCTCGATGGGCTCCTGCTTGACCTGCACGGCCTCCGTGTGGCCGGGCAGCCGCTCGGGGTACGGCTCCTCCAGCAGGGCCTGGTGCTCCCGCAGCTCCTCCTCCGTCTCCTCGGGGTGGCTCTCGTGCTGGCGTGCTGGCTCGGCGGGCTTCGGGAGCATCTGCGGGCACGTGGGGGAGCAGGACGGGTGAGAGGTGGAGCGATGGCGAGGCCCGGCCCAACCCAGCGGAACCCAGAGCTACATTCCGGGGGCCGCCATGAGTGACGGCGACGGTGACAGTGACGAGACAACCGCCAAACTGATGGCCGCTGGCGACCGTGGCTCGTGGGGGTGTGTGTGTGCGCGCGCGCACGTGGGAGTGCACACGCACAAACACATATGCACTCATACAAATATACACACGCTCACAAGGAGCATACAAGCACACATCACACACGTGTGCACACGTGCACGCAGACCCCCAATGCGAGCCCTCAGCAGGAATCCCGCCAGGCCCCCCTCCCCACCCGCGCCACAAGCCTGCCTGGGGCACGGGCCCGTCCCCCCGGCCCCCCCAGCGTCACGGCTAATGTCCTTCTTTCTTTCTTCTCAGACGCCCCAGAGCTCAGGTCCCAGGAGCCCGGGATGATGGGCAGTGGATGTGTGAGCAGCTTTCACTGTGCTGGAGCCAGAGATGGGCGGCGGCCCCTCGTTCTGCAGAGAAGGAAACTGAGGCCGGATGATGGGCATGCCAAGACCAAGCGGCAGAGGTGAGAGTTGAACGCGTGTCTTTGGGCTCTTTTGACCCTGCCTCCGGACCCACCAGTGGGCTCCCCCAGGTTCCTCCAACAGTGAAGGCCGTCCCTCAGTTTCTCTGTCCGCTGTGGGCCAGAGAGGGGGCAGAGACGGCTGCCTCCCTGGGGCATGACCCCAGCCCTCCGGCCTCGATGCCCCATGGACTGAAGAAGATCCCATGAGGTTCCGAGAGTGGGGAGCTCCGGGTGTCTCCAGGTCACGGAACCTTCCCGCTCATGCCCATGCTCCCTGCCCCATGCCAGACGCCTGCCTCGTCTTGTCAGAGGGCGCGGGCGCCAAGAGATGCGCCGTCCACACTCTTCTCTGATGAGCCCTTCACGCAGAGCTGCACGGTGAGGAGATGGGTGGTCACACCACCAGGGACACCGGCGCACCTGGCTTGATGGCACGCTAGAGAACGCTGTCCAGATGTGCAGCCTGCCACTGACTGCTCACGGCTCTGGTTCTGAGATCCGAGGGGTGGAGTCTCAGGGCTGGCAGGACCCCAGGCATCATCTGGTCCAAGACGCATTTGAGCAGCTTCTTGGTTAAGGTCACCTAGCTCTGTTCGCAGACCTCTAGTGACAGGGAGCTCACTATCTCACAGAATCAGCCTATTGAAAGTGGTGAATGAACTCTTGCTGTTGACCTGGGTGGATGTACTAGGTGCCTACTAAGTGCCAGGAAGTGAGTGTGCCAAGCACTGGGAAACAAAGAAAGGCAAACAGCCCCTGTCCTTGAGGAGACCCCAGGGAAAGGCTCTGAGCTGGGGGGATTGGGGGGGCACAGGGGAGGGAAGGAGGGGGCCATGGGGGGCATGGGGAGATGAAGGGGGGCCATGGGGGGGCAGGGGAGGGGAGGAGGGGGCCATAGGGGAAATGAAGAGGGGGCCATGGGGGGCAGGGGAGGGGAGGAGGAGACCATGGTGGGGCAGAGAGGAGGGGAGGAGGGGGCCATGGGGTACGGAGGGGAGGGGGGACCCTGGGGGGGGGGCAGGGGAGGGGGGGGGGGCGGGGGGGGGGGGCACAAGGACGTCCTCCACCCCCATGGCCTAGCCCCGAAGGACAGCCAAGGAGGGACCTGTCACGCACACGGGGTCCTGAGTGGAACCTGGGGCCAGGGGACATGCCGGGCCTTGGGCAGTCGGGCCGTCCAGGTCAGGGCAAACCCCTTGACCACCAAGGTGGCCTCACTCTCCAGCGGCCCCTGGGCACGGCCCCTCCCAGGCCTGCCCCACAGGAGGCCACAGAGATTTTCTGTCTTAGAGCAGACACTGCCAGGGCCGTTAGCAGGAGGGGCTGCTCTGCACAGGATTAAAGAAAACCCAAGGAAACATGGTGGTTTTCTTCAAACAGGAGCCCAGCCCGCGCCAAACCCCAGCACCAGACGTCGCTTGCAATCAGGTGGCGGCCTGAGAAACGCTTCACTGGGATGTCTAACGTGGAGGTTTTGAGATGATGAAAGGGCCCACTGCTCCGGCCTCAGTGTGCGCTGGCGGCAGGCGCCCTCCAAGCCTGGGGGAGGCCCCAGGCCCGGGCTCCCCTCTTGGATCGGCCGCTCACTACCAGCCTCTCTGGGCCTCAGTTCCCTCGACTGTCAAAGGTGAGGGCTGATTACCCCAGAGTCCCTTCCAGCTCTAAATTCCCAATCCTGTGACCCTCTCTGTATGCCTCAGTTTCTCCATCTTTCAAAAGGGGGGTGGGGGGGAGAGGGGAAGGGGCTGAGCTCCACCGCCTCTGAGACGCCTCAAGATTCTCTGCTGCTATGGAAACCAAAGGGCCGACGACAGAGGTGGAACGAGTCACCTCTTGGCCATATTTATCTAAAACATTCCCATCAAACACGGGCATGTATTTCAGGGGTGAACTTTGGTGGGAAGCGGGGTACACAAGGCGCAGCCCCTGAGGTAGGGGGGGGCAGGCTGGGCTGGCTTTAGCTCAGCAGCACAGGGTCCTCCCCGCCCCCCCCGCGTCTCTGTGGCTGTCAATCACAGAGGGGCTTCTGAGGCCCGACCTGAGGCCTTGGGGCGGGAGGGGGGTGTTCTCACTGGCAGATAGAGGGGTGTGGTCGGAGGGGCTCTGACTCAGGGCTCTGAGGACCCGGGTTCCAATCCCATCCGGGCCAGTCCCCAACTACTCAGGCAACAGGTCAACTGACCTTTCTGGGCCTCAGTCTGTTCAGCTTTAAAATGGACCGGTTGGGCTTAGAGGCTTCTTTCTGCAGGCCCCTCTAGCCTGAGATCCCTTGTCTCAAAAACATCCAATTTAGAATGCGCTTTGAAAGAACTGAGGCAGCAGATGGAGGGCTGGGCCTGCAGTCGGGAAGACCTGAGTTGAAATCCAGCCTCAGTCACTTATATGCTGTAAGACCCTGGTTGAGTCACTGAACCTCTGTCTGCCTTCATCTCCTCATCTGTGAAATGGGGATCGTAACGGCACCTGCCTCCCAGGGCTGCGGTGAGGGTCCGATGAGGTCACCTCTGGAGAGGGCACATTTTCGTCTCTGTATCTCCAGACTTAGTACAGCACCTGGTATACAGCCAGCACTTAATAAATGCTTATTGGTTGACTGATTCACTTCTGAGCAAACAGAACATAAACTTCTTAAGGGCAGAGACTGTCACGTTTCTGTCTTTGTACCCCAAGCACTGGGCATGGGGCCAGGTACCCAGGAGGTGTTTAATAAATGCTTGCTGATTAATTGCTTCCGGATTTTGTTTTGTTCAAGCCAGGCAAACTCACAACTGAAATTCCATCGGACGCAAATGGAAGGTGCTGAGTTTAGAGTTTAGCAAAGGGCAGAGGCCCCGTGACCAAGAACACATCTTCAGTAAATGAGGGGTCCATGTCGACGCTTTCTCTGTGTCATGACGAAGTTCGTGCCAGGCCAGGAAAAGGGTCTGGCACACAGTAGGCCCGTGAAGCACACCTGCTGATGGACGAAGCCTGGCACCACACAGACAGTAGGCCC